GAACTAAGCTGGTTAAAAATGAAGAGTTTTATGCTAAAGCTAAGATCATTTTGGGAGCATCCTATTCATTCTGAGGACCCTATTGACATCCTGAACATAAAACTAAAACGCATCAAGAAATATTTTAAAGGATGGGGATCTCACTTCTTTGGCCATGCTAGTAAGATAAAAAAATGGATTAAAAATGAGCTGGAAGAGATTGAGAAGAAAGAGGAATCTGGAACCCTAGACCCAGAAATCTATGAGAGAAGGACTGCCTTGTGTGATGAGCTGAATGAAATCCTAGTTGATGAAGAGCTCTTCTGGCTTCAGCACTGGAACGAACGATGGCTACTAAAAGGGGATCATAATACGACCTACTTCCATCGTATAGCTAATGGAAAAAAGGAAGAATACTATTCACTTCCCACTGATGGGGAGGTGATTATAGAAGGGACAAAAGATCTCCTAGCCCATGCCACATCCTATTACAAGGAGCTCTTTGGCCCTGCCAATGGGAACTTATTCCATCTATCATCTGAAACCTGGTCTAGGAATGAGAGGTTTACTGAAGATGATAATCTTATCCTTACCAGTGTTTTTACCAAAGAAGTTAAGAAAGCCCTTTTTAGTATGGAAAGCAATAGAGCTCCTGGCCGTGATAATATCCCAGCTAAGTTTTATAAACACTGCTGGGATTTCGTCAAAAAAGATATTATGCGGTTGTTTGAAGCCTTCCATAATAATACCCTGGATGTGGCTTGTTTGAATTACGGGATTATCACCTTGATTCCAAAACTAAGTGGGGCAAAAAGAATCCGGCAGTATCATCCCATTTGCCTACTGATATGTCCGTACAAATTAATTACTAAGGTGTTGGATAACAGGATAGCTATCTTTGCAGACAAGTTGATTAGCAAACATCAAAATGCCTTCATTAAGCACATAAAGATTATGGATGGGATCCTCACGTTGCATGAAGTGCTGGATCACACCCACCAAAGAAAGAAAGTTGGGATAGTGTTGAATTGGACTTCGAAAAAGCATACGATAAGATAAACTAGGACTTTCTCCTTAAATGCCACTGCAATTGCAGATTTGGCCCTACTTGGTGTGGTTGGGTAGAAAAAATTCTCCGAAATGGTACTTTGAGTATCAAACTCGATAATGAAAACGACCCATACCTCCAAAGCCATAAAGGGGTTCGTCAAGGCGACCCCCACTCTTCCTTCCTGTTTAATCTTGTTGTAGAAACTTGTGACGCCCCAAGACTGGAGCTTCAGATGCCTTCCAGGGTTTCCGAGATTCCGTCGTGTGACTTGTTTGGTTCATTGCTTTCATCATTGCATTGTTTGCATTGCATCATGTCATCATGCCATCATGTCTTTTTTTAACTCAACTAAATAAATGGCATGGATCTTTGATCCATTTAAATCGAGGGAATTCACATAGTGAGTTCTCTTTATAACACATATCCTCCTGATAGTAGGGAGCTATATTAAATATTTCTTTAATTTGAAATTCACCATAACACACTTGCAAAAATCCCAATGCTTTAGTTATCACAACTCTTGGCCTCTATCTTTGCTATATATCTTTTCTCTATTTTCCGGAGCTCCACCAAGTATCCGAACATTTTTTTGGACCTCCTATCACCCACTTCCTATGCAAATCATTTGAATTTAAATCAAATGAGTTTGAATTTAAATATTTCTATCATGGCCTTTTCTATTTTCTCGGAACGAGCATATTTTTGCGAGTCCGAAAAAAATATTCCGCATGCCCAAATCCTTCCTCTAATCCTTTCTTTCTTTGCGGTTTTCTGTTTTCTAGAAGGTTTTTTTAAAAAAAGACTTAAGGGAGAGAGAGCCCAGCCAGGCCTCTGGCTACCTGGGCCTCCCATCACCAGCACCGGCCCTTTTGACCCTTTAGGCCCAGCCAGCCCCGCCTTCTCAACCCTAGCCACGCGCACCCCCCTCCTCATCGTTTTCCTTCCGCCGCCAGCAAGCGCATGCCCACACCCTAGCCTGTTGCGATCGATCCCCATCACCAGCGCCATCCTCCTCCTCCCTCTCGCTCCTTTGAACGACCCTTTCCCTTGCTCTCTTCCACCACCGCCACTGCCTTCGACCACCAGGAGGCCGCCGCATCGCCAGGAGATCGCCGCGTCACCGGGGACACCGAGCGCTGTCTCTCCGTGTAGCGCCTCTTGCCCGCCTTCGCCTTGCATCCACCGTGCCTCGTCCCTCTCCGCTCGCGTTGCCCGCTGGCCCCGACAAGCGTAGCACCGACGAGTCCCTCCCGGACACCTTCAGCTTCTCCTCACCTTGCGCCGCCCCTCTTCCTCGGGTCCTCGCCATGAACCTGCTTCCAGCGCCGGGGAAC